GTGATGAGTGTTGCTCGCACATCCAATCAATCAAATGCTTCTCATAAGGATGCATTGAATCAAATGCTTACCATTAATGACGTTCACATCACATGACCAGGAATACAGCCACTAGAAGTGTTTACAGCCCTGCAATGTTTTATAGTGTGGGGTTAAAAACGGCATGGTCATTGCACTCAGACCACTTCATTGAGATTACATGGTCTGTGTGAATTTTATAGCATGACAGGAGGCTTCATATTTGCTTAAGTCTCTCTTTACTAGAACTCCACAGCAGCATATTAACATAGAGAGAAAAACACCAGAGACAAAAAATCAGGAATCTATAAAAGGCTTCTCCCAACTAACTATTTCCTCTTTCTTTGCTGCTCCGCAGTCAGTACAGGTCAGAGTACCACTGCCTCCTGTTATATATGGGTGATTGTGGATATTTTACTGTATTTTTGCATCTACCTACTTAGTGCTGTAGGGATTGATTTATTTAGCTATACTGTATTTTCTACACCTACCTGCTTAGTGCTGTAGTGATTGCTTGATTGATTGCTTTATTTACTCTGTTTTTCTGCATCCACCTTCTTATGGCTGCAGGGACTTATTTGTTTAGAATGTGTTTACCTTCCTACTGCCGTTATGATTTATTTATTTATTTAGAATGTATTTTCCTGTCCCTACCTTTTTGCTGTAGGGATGTGTTTTCTCTTATGACTTTTCTGCATTTTCCTGTTTTGGGTCCCCCTGTCTGGGGATCGTTTTTTTTCTCGGGTTTGGGGGGGTTTCCTTTTTTCCCTCCCTCTACCTTTTCCGTGTGGCTTTGCCCCCTTCACTTTTTGTCTGTTTTGCGGGCGCTGGAAAGCGGTCCTCCGGCCGCTTTCCATTGCCGACCGCCGGGACCCTGGAGTAAGACTCCGGCGGTCCCCCGTGTTGGTACCTGCCGGCTCCGTCCGCCGAGTGAGGTCCTCTGCTTCCGCCCCCCACCCGACCCACGCTTCCGCTTGTGGTATAACTGCTCCCGGGGCGTGGGTGGGGGGTTAACTTCCCATGCAGTGCGGCGGCCCCGAGCATCCACTTCCCCGCAACCGCGTGGTCGGGTGGGGGCGGGGCCGGCCCGTTACCAGATTTACTGCATTAATTCCGTCGATGGCACATGTGCTGTAGCTTTGACTGGGACTCTGCTATGACTTGGGCGCATTGCACCCTCAGGCTGTCCTGGCTTTGTGCCCCATGTGGCTGGCAGGTTAGGCTACTGGGGACCATAGTGGATGATATAGATCACAGGCATGCTATATAGAGCTGTGCACAACCCTTCAAGGGTTACAGGCACAACTGGCAGTGTTACCACTTATACTCATCCCCCCCCCTTTTTTGTTTGTTCAGATGATTGCTCGCAGCGCTCTGTTTTATCATATTGACCAATGGAGCACCTCTTGTGAGGTAACTCGGTTGGTGAGTTCCCTGACTACAGGTGTACTCAATATGCAAGTTCACTATTTACGGAGTGTCAGGCACTATTTAACTGAAGTGCGTTATCTACACAATGGAATGCTAGGTACAGTCACACGGAAGAATGCTATGTACAGTTACAGAGTAGAAGGCTATGTGCAGTTACACAGTAATATACTATGTACAGTTACACAGAAGAATGCTGTGTACAGTTACACAGAAGAATGTACGTACAGTTACACGGAAGAGTGTTATGTACAGTTACACAGAAGAATGTTATGAACAGTTACACAGAAGAGCGTTAGGTATGGTTACACAGAAGAACGTATTGTATGTTTACACAGAAGGATGTTATGTACGGCTGCACAGAAGAGTGTTATGTACAGTTACACAGAAGAAGGTTACGTACAGTTACATAGAAGAGTGTTAATTACAGTTACACAGAAGTGTGTTATGTGCTACTAATCTGAAGAAGTGTTATGTACATCTTATCTGAAAAGCGAAAGGTACATTTTATCGGAAGAATGGAATGCGCAGTTCCTCACCTGTACATCTCTGAAGGTCCTGACTTGTCTGTGCCCCAGGACTTGGCCGGCTTTGTCCGTGCTTTACTAATTGGCCTGCTCTGCCTGTTCCCCATTGATCTGGCCTGTGATGTCTGTGCCAGAATGTCTGCATGCCAAGCCTACTGCCACATACTCACGCTTGTGCATTGCATGCGCTGCCCAACTTGCCTCGGTCACTATATGGGGTGCTGCCCCTATCTCCCTGACAGTGACACTGGTCCTCTATACTCCTTGAGGTCGCTTTGCCTGGGACCGCTGCACAGGAGAACCCTTATCCGGGTTAACAGCGCAGTCAATGACTACTATGGCAGAGGGGCTAGAGGGCCCACCTTTAAAATGTCAGGCGACTTGAATGAGTCAGACTCTCCTAGAGGAGAGCAGGCAAGGGCACATAAGCGCTACTGGAAGGGTGAAGGCCCTGAACCAGTGACTTGAATGAGTCAGACTCTCCTTGAGGAGAGCAAGCAAGTGAGCATGAGCGCTACTGGAAGGGTGAATGCCCTGAACCAGGCTCCCGGAAAGATAAGACTCAGAGGAGCGGCTAACCCCTCTGCAATCGGCTAGATGGCCCTGCCCAAATGGTGCAGGGGAGGCGATGACCACCGGACACGGCAGTGACCACCTTCTTAAAAAGGCAGATGACTTGAAGGAGTCAGACTCTCCGAGTGGAGAGCAGGCAAGGGCGCATAAGCACTACGGGTAGGGTGAAGGCCCGGAACCAGACGCCTGGAAAGATTAGACTCCGGAGAAGTGTCTAGCCCTGATATGATCGGCCTTGACGGCCAGACGACACTGCCTATGTGGCGCAGGGGTGAAGGTCCCCGTAACCCCCTTTCCCCCCGCCATGGCCGCTCTAGCTGAATGGCGGGAGGACCGGTTCCCCTCGGAGGGAGAGAACGATGGGGCCCCTAGTGGCACCATGAGATGTAGAAAAACGTCCACTACAGGGGCCCTGACGACCGTAGAAGAAGAAGTCGTCTCGTGGATCACATTTGATCCATTGCTCACCTGGTTTCTTTGGAATGGTCTCTGCTTGATCACCTAGCACCATCGGCTTGAGAAGCCTACAGGATAATTTGAGCAGTATTCCCAGCTGGGCTCCCGAACAAAGTAGCCGCAAACCCAGACCTAGACCCTGATGGGGCACTGCGGTTTTGCTGGTTAAGCACCTGTCTAGTATTCAGGAGATCCTGAGTGCGGCCCACTGCAGTGCCTATACTATTAAGTCCGCACTGGCAAGCCGATTGTTCTCAGCTACACGAGTGAGTTGTGCTAGCGGAACATACGAGGAAGTATAAGATGTGTCCTTTTTTACATGGAAATACTTGACGGAGGCTTATCTCAGCTCCAACCCATACCTTTTATAGGGGTTTGGACCTTTGACCCGGAATTTCACACTTGCCTCCACTTTCGGATGACATCCCAGACGGGGCCCCGAGTCTGGGGTGGCAGATGACCCTATCCTAAACGCAATTTGGACCGCTGGAGGTGCTTGGGATAAAGAGATATGAGCCGCTCGGAGTCCCTGCACGAGTCTACGATTGAACGAATATTCATTAGTTACGGTGGCCTCTATTTTCTCCCTGGTGAGATAGGTATCTTGTGCATCAGTCATTTGGGCGATGTGACGAGACCAATCTCGCCACATTGCATTGGAGAAGCCTGGTTGCTCGCCTGCCTTTGGACTATGGCCCCATGTTAAAAGACTTTGTTTCGCCTGCAGAAAAGCTGTAATCGTGCTTTTCTGCCGGTTGTTCGGTAGATTCAATCTACCGAACAACCGCACGAATGAATAGACCACCTGGGAGCTGGAGTGTGCCGGCAATTAACCTCCCTGAAGCTGCAGTTAACCGCAGCTTAATTGACGAATGCTGGGTGGCCGCCATTCGTATCCCGAACACGAGGTCGCGGTCATTTTAAACATACGATTGCACAGCGGTGTTAGACGCTTAATTAATGGAACTAAAATCGGACACAGTTTTGCGCGAACACCGCTGAAGCCGCCGACCTCCCTTCTTGTTCGGTGGAAGTACACGAACAGCCGGTGTTCGGTAGTTTTACTTGTCTATGTTATACCCCAGATAGGAATCCTATGGAGCCCATTCGCATGAAACTGACTGTAAAGACTTTGGCTCCATGGCGATTAAACTGTATTCGTGTGGTCTGAGCGCCATTCGCTTAATAATGTGTGCTCAGACCTGAGCTATCTGGGGATATGTTAAATGTATAGTTTTAATGTAATGTGTCTTACATGGTGTATTTTAACAGTAATGCTTGTTTTAGTATCTCCACGTGCATAATGGTGATTTGCCTTTGTCTTGGGAGATAATTGAATTACTTCTCAATTATCTCCCAGGGCAGAGGGGAGGAAGCCAGGATGCATTGTGGGAATATATTGTGACTGTGTGTCCTATTTGTCTGCTTATCTGTCCCTTGTCACAGTCTCCCATTTGGTCCCATAGGGGAGTGTCTACCAGGTGGGAGACCTACATAAATACTGGGCAGGTAGCCCTCATTAAACAGACCACTGCTTGACCCTCAACACGGAGCCTTGTCTCGTCTTTGGGGGGATTTACTGAATGCTGATAGAGACTGATTGCTAGGAGTGTAAGCCGCTTGGATGCTTTTCCTATTCGTCTGGTAGCAGCAATTCGTATGGTTCCTGTTCGTCTGTTTGGAGTGCTATATTGGATGCCGTTCGGGAGTTTGGAGCATTCACTTATTGGCGATTCGTGTGTTTGGTGTTCTGCAGTAGCTGTGCCTGCATCTCTGGAAAGGGGGCCGATCGCCTAAACGGTTTTTACCCCTTTTGTGCAA